TGTTATCTCATGTACTTGCACCTTTTTGCCTAGCTGTTCATCTTGGTATTAGCCATGGGCAGGGAGCTTGGAGCTGCTTCATCACCTGCTCTCCTTACCAGAAATGTGAACTGTAGTGTAAAGAGTTACATCTGACAGTGTGATATGCTAATTGGATACTATACACATCATCACAGGAAGTGATGTAATGTCACGTGATTCTCACTGCCATGCAGCCTTGTGGCAAAATGAAGCAATTGGCTGAGAACTTTGCTAATCAATTCTTATTTACAGCTAACACACATGCCGTCATAGTCAACCTGAAAAAGTGAAAATCTCAGAAATGAATATATTAAAAAAACTTAAAAATCATTTTGGGAGGAAAAAGGGGACAGTGCAAGTTTTGTTTTGTCTCTTTGCGTACTGTCGAATGCTACAATTTGATAGAGCACTACTGCTATTGTTCCTTGTTGCTGAAATGGCAGATCAAAGAAAAAGTTGAAAGTAAAGTTGTGATGGTTTTGAGCAGGCAAAATGAAAGAATTATTTAAAATATGCACTTTGAAAATCTTAAAATAGCCACTACACTGAAAGCGGAATGCATAACTTTGTATTTATCTGTCACTCATCTTCTGAATTATGAAATATGCTCAATTATCAGCACCATGAACCTCTATACATTTGTATCTTATTATTATTGATTGTTGTAAATTTCTTGGAATTACATTCACTGACATATTCTCAAGAGTCACAGTTCTGTGCAGCACAGTGGTCATTCTCATAGAATTAATACATTCTTCCCTTTTTATGTTTTCCCACTTCTAATTTATGCTTCCTTTTTCTTCTCCTGTCCTAAAAGTATTTTTGTTTCCTCAGAAAATTGCTCCAGGAGTAATGATAGCCTATCCTCACCTCACCCATTCTTCATGATTGAGCCTGCAGACAGTACCTTCAGCAGGGGCTGAGGAGTCCTGTGCTCTCATGAGATTCCTGCAGATAGTTGACCATTCAAATCAATACAATGGGGAGAAGGAAATACAGCCACGTTAACTTAGGAGGAATTAATGTTAGCCATAGTTGTCCAGTTGAATGGAGCTAACACCAGAGAAACCCTACAGTGTGGAAGCAGGTCATTCGGCCCATCAATCCATACTGACCCTCCTGAAGACCATCCCATCCAGACCCAACCCCTACCCCTATGACCTTGCATTTCCTTGGACATTATAGACAATTTAGCATGATCACTCCACCTAACCTACACATCTTTGGACTGTGGGAGGCAGCTGGAGCACTGGGAAGAAACCCAAGCAGACACGGGTAGAATGTTCAAGCTCCACACAGATAGTCGGCCGAGGGTGGAATCGAACCTGGGACCCTGGCCCTGTAAGGCAACTATGCTAACTACAAAACCTCAGATCTCCTGTTCAATGTGGCTGCATACCAACCATTAGGGAGCTATTTTCTTTGTATTTTCATCTCTGTTTCCCTTACATCAATACCCTCTCCTCCCCACTTCTCCAGCTCACCAATATCTCATTTCTGTTTCAGGAGAAGTTTACAGGAAGCAGGCCTGTTAAGGCAATGTGATTTAGTACCAATTCTTGCTGCAAATTATAAACACCATTGAATAATATTATGCTTCAGAACATCCAATACTGCAAATTTTCTGACTTTCTGCTTGGTTTCAGGAGCTTACTGGATTTAGTAGCAATGAAAACATCTATGTACATCCAGCCAAGACTGCAACAGATGCTGACAGATTTTTGACAAGTTATAAACTTTGGTGAGTCATAGTGGGAATAAAGGAAAGTGAAATTGGGTAATAATTTGCAATGTGGCACAGTAACAATTGTTAATTTTCCAAGTTCCTGCTGCCAGAAACATTGTTCATTCCTAGAGGAAAATATCATTAGTACTTAAAAATCAATATACTGGTCCTCTATTTTGAAGCTTACAAGATGAGTCAGATCAATGTGCATCCATTGTGCATTTTACAAATTTTTTTTCCATCTGGTTTGGTGAAATGTTGGATATATGGCACTTAGTCTTGCACACCTATTAAATGAGCAGAAAATAGTAAGTATCAAGTATACTGCAAGCAAGCAAGCTCCTTGAGGAATGTACAACCTCAGAAAATTTGCTCCCAGAAAGAAGTGAATGATAATGTGCTCAAGGTAGTGGGAACTAGAATTGTTTACCTCATTTCTGATTCAGGAGCCAGAACTAACATGTGGGTTCATATACCTACATTGCTATCGACTTATTTTGGATCTATTTCTTAATCAAATGCACAACTTTAGAGATAAAAATACTGATCCAGCATTAGGAGATTAGATTATAAAGGTTGAGATGACTAGATATACTTTAATGAAAGAAAATAAGTTTAAGAGACACAATATAACAATTTTAAAAATGTTAAAAGGATGGGTAAGATTTAGCACAGACAATGAACACATTACTACAGGTTATAATTGCATAATGTCACAATGTCACAATATAATTTCACAGGCACTAAGCAAAATTACACATTTGAACCAAATTTTACCCTTATGTGAAACTGATTGACAGAAAGCCTTAGTCAACTGTATCAGCTGTTATTTTGAAAGGGATGCTATTCAATACCAAATATGCACAGGGTTGACATGTTTACATTTCTCTGGTTATCTTCATTGCAAATAAAAACTTCAAAAGTGAACAAAGCTGCAAAAGTGAATGGTGGGTGGACATTGAACAGGAAAAAAAATGTATCATTTTGCATATGGAGGCTTTTTAAGAGGTTTTGGAGGATATGGATGAGGCTGGCCACATATTGAAAGAGAATCTGAGGACATTGAGTTAGTGGATCAAGGCATAACCGTAACAGTTGAAGGAGACAGCCTGGGAATGAATAGTACAATAACATTGTAAAAGCAGAGAGGAGTAAGGAGGGATGCTGGGAATGATTTACCAGAATGGAATAGTTTACCAGAGAAGGGCATTTCAATGACCAATATAATATGACCACGTAGCAATTAGCAGTGCTTTGGGAGAAAAAGTGATTGAAGGATATTACAAGAAAAGTGAATTGATGAGATTGATTTAAGAAGAAAAGTGAAGGTGAGTTAATATTGTAAACAGAGATATGTAAGGACATATTAGAGTAGTTGGCCAAACACAAAGTCAACAAAAGACTTGTATTTGGCCACTTACTCCAATTTCTCCTTACGTTTTTATATTTACAATGTTACCTCATTCTAACTCTGTCACTTCAATAATTCATGTTCTGATTTTTGAAAACTATTTCTACAAATTTAGGCATGACGACAAAACTCCAAAAGGAGAGGATAGAGAAGGTTGGACAAGGGGAGGAATTCAGAAACAGTTTCCTCACAGTTATGCTGTTAGCTCCAAGATACATCAGCATGGCCCAGACTACAATGCAACTGAAACTTTACGCCGGATTCACCCCCATGTGGCCAGGTAGGAACCAAGTTATAAATTCAGTAAGAGACTGCCTGTATCCCAGCTTGCATCATTTCCTGTGTCTGCTGACCTTTATTGGATCTTGGTTAAGTAATGCCTCAATATTCATTCTTGTTTTGAATCCCTCCATGTCATCACTCCTCCCTCTCTCTCCAACCTTTCTCAACCTTACAAAGTTCTGAGATTTCTGTGCTATACCAAGTCTGGTCGCAAGTTCTGGACTTCCCTCCATAAACATTTCGACCATAATCTATTCCTTTAAGATGGTCCTTAAAACTTACCTTGTTCACTTGGTGTTTGGCCACCTACTCTAATATCTCCTTACATATCTCTGTTTACAATGTTATAGGTGCTATACTAATACAATTTGCTGTAAAGGAGGGCAATGAATTCTAATAAGAGACAAGATCAAGATAAACATAAAATATAAATGAAAATAATGAGGGGTCTCAATTAATGGTGGGGCAGTAAGGTCAACAATGGATTTTCCTGCCCAAAACCTGCCATCTTTAGCCAAATCAAATTCACAGCCCAACTTCAGGCCCACTCCTTCTGGGCCTACTAGTTCACTCATCATCTGAGCATCGACCCTATCAAACTCCCAGAATGCTACGTGTTTTATTAAAATCCCCTCTCATTCTTTTAAATGTCAATGCATATAGACACAAGCTGCACACCCTTTCCTAATAAGAAAACTGCTTCATGTCATGAATCAGCCTATTGAAGCTTCTTGAATTGTTTTTAATGCAAGGATACACTTCCTTATATAAGGAGACTAAAACTATACAGAGTGCTATAGGTGTATTCTTGCCAATGTCCTTTCCAGTTGTAGCAAGATTTCCCCAGTTTTACACTTCATCCCCCCTCACAATGAAGGCCAACATTCCATTGCTTTCCTAATTATCAGTTGTGTCACCTCCAATGTTGCAATTCAGCCAAGATAATATGCTCAAAACAGTGGAGTGGGGCGTGATCTCCAATCTTCCAACTCTAAGGAAAGAGTGCTACCGTTGAGCCAGAGCTGACAACATGAAATGCTGATATACCATTGCTCTGAGGCCCTGCTAAGAAGGATTTTTATGTTGGTGCACAACATGCATCATTTCTATATTATTGGAGCAGCCATAAAAATAATTCTGTTGAATTAATGACATTATGCTTTTTAAAAAAAATTGAAGAAAAAAAATGATAGAACCAACTGAGGTCTGGCCAGAGAGAAGTCTTCCTAGTGTAGAAATTGCTTTCTTAATGGTTTAAAAGCTGTATTATCTTTTATAAGACCTTTATGGCTATGCTGTTAGGGTCATTTAACTGCCTCTTTTTTTAAAAAAACAAAAGGTCAACTGCAGATTCTTGTTGTTTTTCCTTCTTTTATTTAGAGAGAGAGAGCTGGTGCAAATTGACTAGCCTAAATGGTTACATTTTGAACGAAAACAATCCCGATCTATCTAGTCTCCCTTCATAGCTGAACCGCTACTGTCCAGGTGCTCCTGGACCCTGGGTTATGATTCCTCCCATCCTTCCATGTCCCCAGAGCCTGGATTGTGAGACTCCGTGTCACTGATACTTGTGCTGAGTACCATTATTTTGACATTGCCCACACAGTGTCAGGTCAACAGCTCTGAAGTCAGTGAACAGCATTGAAGGAAGATATCCTATAATACATTCAGCAGCAAATAACAAGAAACCAATAATACATCGGCAAGGCATGGGGATCCAGCAAAGGCAGCTGAAAGTGCAAATCATTGTAACCCATACTTTTTCACTGCATTTGTGTATAAACTGTTCGGTGATCTATCCCTGAGGAAATCAAGTCCCTGAGTCCTGCTGACTCAGTGGAGTTCTGTATTTGACCAAAAGGGAGAAGGTTTATTTTGGATGATGCCAAACATATTGCAAGACATGATCAGGAGGTCACAGAGATGAAGCAGAGGCATCCAAGAGAGCGCACAAACCCCGAGGCAGTGTCTACACTAGACCCAGCAGCCATTTCAGAGCACACTAAACCAGACTTCTTCATCCTGAGGGATTGCTGAAGGTGAATAAATTTTTTTAAGAGAAAATTAGAGCAATTTAATCAATTTGTGCTACTTTTAATTGGATTAGATTCCTTCATGTTAACTCTGCGCATTTCATTCCTTCTTTATGTTCTTCCCAAAAAAAAATACTTAATGAGCTGAGGATGATGTGTGACGGCATTGCTTTTAATGACACATAATCTGGAGAATTAGAAGTAGAGTGGGTGGAAAATGAGACATTAGTAATTCTGCCGACTGTTTTGCCTAAAATAAGAACTGGCAATACCCCAAAAGAACTATTAATTTAAAAACTAATGTAAAATTAAAACTGGGCCCAGAAACTTAAGGCAGGGATTTTCAGGAGAGTTAAAATGAGTATGACTTTGTGAGGATGCCACTGTGAATAGTATGTTTTATTACACTAAAACTGCAGTGTAGAAGTGAGCTGATGTCTAATTGCAATAGATATGTATCAAGTCATTTTAGAATAGTAAGGGTCAAGATAGGACCATTCACCGTCTTGGCTATCTATCAAATATCCCCAAAACAACAAAGAAGTCTTGGGACCCTAGCAGTTTAGTTGATAAATGAAAGTTTATTATGATACTGAATCACGTAGATTAGAAAGACCTACAGTGTATGCCAAGTTGACCAGTCTTAGCTGAACTGGACACAATGTCACAGAGTCATACAGCATGGAAACAGATCCTTCAGGCCAACTTATCCATGCCGACATCCCAATCTGGTCTAGTCCCATTTGCCAGCATTTGGCCCACGTCCCTTTAAACCCTTTCTATTCATATACCCATGCAGATGCATTTTAAGTGTTGTAATTATACTCTCCTCCACTATTTTCTCTAGCAGCTCATTCCATACATGCACCACCCTTTGCATGAAAAAGTTACCCCTCAGGTCCTTTTTAAATCTTTCCCTTCTCACCTTAAACATCTGTGTGATTACGGAGCGTAAACACTGGAATGGACTGTTTCTGTGCTGTATTTCCTATCTGATCACATGTACATCCTTAGTATTCCATGGACAAGGCAGGGGGAAAGTTTGCCGACCGTATTACTTTGATTAATAGAGCTTATGACAGAGTGCATGCGAGTGAACCCAGTGTAATCCTAAATCACAATTGGCTGTGTGGCCATTTCTCCGGACTCATGTTTTAGGTTTATTCGTTAAAAATTGGACACCTGATCAGTGTACAAAAAGCACTGCTGATGTATTTAGAATAAGAATGATTCACTACTTGAGGATAGCATACAAGGAATATTGGATTGAAATAAACAGTACAAATTGGATGGCTATTCCCTGCAATATCAGGAGATGTTTTGTAATGTTTCATACTCAATGTAACACAACTCATAATAATGAGACAATAACGTTGTACTGGATAAGCTAGTCAGGGAAAAGAAAAGTTACTGCCACAACATTTACTCACTGATCTGTCTTGTTTTATAACCTGGCACGGATTCCAGTTTTCCAAGATGATTGTCAAATTATCATGACAATCCACAAAAGAGCAGTTTCAGCTAATTGTGTTTTTTTTTATGTGTGTGGGCAGAGGTTAGGGCAGTTCTGAAGAAGGGTCACTGGACCTGAAACGTGAACTCTGCTTTCCCTCCACAGATGTTGCCAGACCTGCTGAGTTTCTCCAGCAATTTCTACTTTTTTTTGTTTGAGGTTAGGCCAGTGCTCCCCTGTATTTGTATTAATAATTTGTTTGAGACCTTGTGAATTATTCCAAAGCATTTGTCAATGAATTAAAAGAAAGTATTTATTGAAAGAATGGAAGGAATACATAAGCATGTCCTGAGATTGATCATGGGTCCTCTGTATTACTCTTACAGTGCTTTTCATGTCACAGTGTTCAAAATCTTACAAAGGGGAACAGCTAATACTTGTACAAAGTTCAAAAAATCCCTTGTACAGTCAACCCACTTTCTGATCTTGTTGCATCTATCATGCCCAGACCAATCAGATAGCTCTCAATTACAATTAAATTTAACCATTAAGGTACAGAAATGGAGATGTACTGTGGTAACCCTGTTGAATTCAGCTTCTTGATGAAGCATTTAAATTCTTAAATTTCTATATACTTTTGCACCTGAAATATCAGAATGGTTTATAGATTTGTAATTTTGAGAACATTTTGATTCAACATTACCCTTCCTTTAAAATTCCATACACCAAGTCTTTGCTACCTCTGAATTTCTTTGTCGCTTTTTGTTACTACATGATTGTTATATTTGCATACTTTTAATCTGATTACTTAGTCAAAAATGAATTTTTCAAGGTAAGGCAGGCTGCAATACAGCTTTTGAGCTATGAGTATATTTCTGAATAAAATACCACTATTGCTATCTGTAAGACCCTTTTAAACAATGAGTAACTTTTGGTTTATAGTGACTATGGATAATCTACTTAGTATGTCAATCATCTATAGTTCTTTTATGAAATGTTAACTTTAACAATTGAATTATAGTGTTTGTTATAAGAAAATTAATATTGAAGAAGTATACAAACTGGAGCAATTAAATAAGAAACCTTTAATTCATGAAAGAACAGTAACACACTTTTCATTTTTCTTTTCCTGAAAGGACATTAAAGTCAGTTGATGAATTTTATGATGATCACACTTATGACCACAAATTGCGTCCGCCTGGGCTGACTCTCTGAGGGTACGTGCTGCAGTCTGTTGAATTTGAAATATTCCATTGGTTGTCAGGAAACTTGAAAAGCACACCACCAAATGTTGCAAGATATGAACTATCTTTCCTCAAAATAACAAAAATGGAAACAATGGATATAATTGAAAAAGAAAATCTGGTCACTATCAATGCTGGTCAATGTAGTGTTGATTTTTATTTCCCTCCAGATAAACTATCAGAATTTTGTTTGGACAGTAAATGGAGAGCAATTGGTTAAATAAGAGAGCCACAGACATGTAACTGACTGACTCATGAAGTTATTCAACAGCATATTGTATAACTAGGTTGCACCTACAGATCAGAACCTAATTAAGAGGTTTAAGTGTTTTTTTCAGATACAGCCAAATGCTAACTAGGGAGTGAGCAACAGACTGGAATATAATCACAATATCCGTATTTTAAATATAAAAAAACCTTGTATTATCTCATGGCCAAATACTGTGAGCAATCTGATTTAGCTTCAGATAAATGTCCAAAGTATTCAGTGGTGTGATCAACGGAATAGACTTTAAGCTGTGGACCAGACAATTGCTTCAGTCTTCACAATGTTAGCTGGAAATTACCATTCATTTAAGATTGGCCAACAGACAAGCTGCCTAACAGAACAGTGTGTGAAAAATGATGGAAAGGTGGAGCTGTGTAATCAACACAATGTGAAAGTTGATCTGTAGGTAACTTTTGAAAAGGGACAGATGCATGTATAGCAGAAGGAGGATGAATCTTTGAGAATTCCTGAGGTACCTTTACAGGGGTAGGGAGAGAAACCATTAGTAAAGAAACTTTAGTTATGATTGAAAAGGTATGAGTGGACCAAAGTGAGGGCAATATCATGGCCCAAAGAAGGAAGCTGGAGAATGGAGGAAATGTGTTGGAGGTGGATGTTGTGATCAATTGTTGTGAAGAATGCAGAAAGGTTGAAGTGGACATACAGCCAACATACACTAGAGTCAGTGATACGCACTTGTGACTTTGGCCATTTCAGTAATGTGAAGAGAGCTGGAAAAATGATTGGAAGGATTAAAAAGTGTTGACAGAGGGGCATGCCCAAATCTAAGAGTCAAGGACACTTTCAAAGAGGTGGGGTGACTGGAGATGGGAAGGCAGTTAGCAAATACAAGAGGGTTAAGGATAAGAGACAGTAGGAACTGCAGATGTTGGAAAATCCGAGACAACAAGGTGTAGAGCTGGATGAACACAGCAGGCCAAGCAGCAGCATAGGAGCAGAAAGGCTGATGTTTCGGTCCGAGACCCTTCATCAGAAAATGGGGAGGTGAAGGGGGTTCTGAAATAAACAGGGAGAGCGTGGGAGGCGGATAGAAGATGGATAGAGGAGAGGATAGGTGGAGAGGAAACAAACAGGTCGGAGAGGCGGGGATGGAGCCAGTAAAGGTGAATGTAGGTGGGGAGTTAGGGAGGGGAAAGGTCAGTCCAGGGAGGACGGACAGGTCAAGGGGGTGGGATGAGGTTAGTAGGTAGGAGATGGGGGTGCGGCTTGAGGTGGGAGGAGGGGATAGGTGGGAGGAAGAACAGGTTAGGGAGGCGGGGATGAGCTGAACTGGTTTTGGGATGCGGTAGAGGGAGGGGAGATTTTGAAGCTTGTGAAATCCACATTGATACCATTGGGCTGCAGGGTTCCCAAGCGGAATATGAGTTGCTGTTCCTGCAACCTTCGGGTGGCATCGTTGTGGCACTGCAGGAGGCCAAGGATGGACATGTCGTCTGAGGAATGGGAGGGGGAGTTGAAATGGTTCGCGACTGGGAGGTGCAGTTGTTTATTGCAAACCGAGCGTAGGTGTTCTGCAAAGCGGTCCCCGAGCCTCCGCTTGGTTTCCCCGATGTAGAGTAGGCCACACTGGGTACAGCGGATGCAGTATACCACATTGGCAGATATGCAGATGAACATCTGCTTGATGTGGAAAGTCTTCTTGGGGCCTGGGATAGGGGTGAGGGAGGAGGTATGGGGGCAGGTGTAGCACTTCCTGCAGTTGCAGGGAAAAGTGCCGGGTGTGGTGGGGCTGGAGGGGAGTGTGGAGCGGACAAGGGAGTCACGGAGAGAGTGGTCCCTCCGGAAAGCAGATAAGGGTGGGGAGGGAAAGATGTCTTTGGTGGTGGGGTCGGATTGCAGATGGCGGAAGTGTCGGGGGATGATGCGTTGGATCCGGAGGTTGGTGGGGTGGTACATGAGGACGAGGGGGATTCTTTTTTGGTTCTTATTGCGTGGACGGGGTGTGAGGGATGAGTTGCGGGAGATGTGGAAGACACGGTTGAGGGCGTTCTCGACCGCTGAGGGAGGGAAGTTACGGTCCTTGAAAAACAAGGACAACTGAGATGTACGGGAGTGGAATGCCTCATCCTGGGAGCAGATGCGGCGGAGGCAAAGGAATTGGGAATAGGGGATGGCATTTTTGCAGGAAGGTGGGTGGGAGGAGGAGTATTCTAGGTAGCTGTGGGAGTCGGTGGGCTTGAAATGAATATCGGTTTCTAGGTGGTTGCCCGAGATGGAGACAGAGAGGTCCAGGAAGGGGAGAGAGGTATTAGAGATGGTCCAGGTAAACTTAAGGTTGGGGTGGAAGGTGTTGGTGAAGTGGATGAACTGTTCGAGCTCCTCGTGGGAGCACGAGGCGGCGCCAATACAGTCATCAATGTAACGGAGGAAGAGGTGGGGTTTAGGGCCAGTGTAGGTACGGAAGAGGGATTGTTCCACATAACCTACAAAGAGGCAGGCGTAGCTTAGGCCCATGTGGGTACCCATGGCCACCCCTTTTGTCTGTAGGAAGTGGGAGGAATTGAAAGAGAAGTTGTTGAGGGTGAGGATGAGTTCGGCTAAGCGGATGAGGGTGTCAGTGGAGGGGTACTGGTCGGGCCTGCGGGACAGGAAGAAGCGGAGGGCCTTTAGGCCATCTGTATGGGGAATGCAGGTGTAGAGGGACTGGACGTCCATGGTAAACATGAGGTGTTGGGGACTGGGGAATTGGAAGTTCTGGAGGAGGTGGAGGGCGTGGGTGGTGTCACGGACATAGGTAGGGAGTTCCTGGACCAAGGGGGAGAAGATGGAGTCCAGATAGTTGGAGATCAGTTCGGTGGGGCAGGAATGGGCGGAGACAATGGGTCGACCAGGGCATTCAGGTTTGTGGATTTTGGGAAGGAGATAGAAGCCGGCAGTGCAGGGTTGGGGAACGATGAGGTTGGAGGCCGTGGGTGGGAGGTCACCTGAGGTGATGAGGTTGTGGATGGTTTGGGAGAATATGGTTTGGTGCTCAGGGGTGGGGTCATGATCAAGGGGGCGGTAGGAGGAGGTGTCGGAGAGTTGGCGTCTGGCCTCGGCGATGTAGAGGTCAGTGCGCCATACTACAACTGCGCCTCCCTTGTCCGCGGGTTTTATGGTGAGTTTGGGATTGGAGCGGAGGGCTGCACGTTCTGTGGGGGAGAGTTTGGAGTGGGTGAGAGGGGTGGAGAGGTTGAGGCGATTGATGTCTCGATGGCAGTTGGAGATGAAGAAGTCGAGGGAGGGTAGGAGGCCTTGGGGTGGTGTCCAGGAGGAGGGGGTGTGTTGGAAGCGGGAGAAGGGGTCAGTAGAGGGAGGGTTAAGCTCGCGGTTGAAGAAGTAAGCGTGGAGGTGGAGGCGGCGGAAAAACTGCTCTATGTCCAAGTGTGAGCGGTATTTGTTGATCTGTGGGTGGAGGGGGACGAAGGTGAGCCCTTTACTGAGGACTGACCGTTCGTCCTCAGTAAGGGGTAGGTCTGGGGGGATGGTGAAGACTCGGCAGGGCTGGGTACTGGATTTCACAAGCTTCAAAATCTCCCCTCCCCCTACCGCATCCCAAAACTAGTCCAGCTCGTCCCCGCCTCCCTAACCTGTTCTTCCTCCCACCTATCCCCTCCTCCCACCTCAAGCCGCACCCCCATCTCCTACCTACTAACCTCATCCCGCCCTCTTGACCTGTCTGTTCTCCCTGGACTGACCTATCCCCTCCCTAACTCCCCACCTGCACTCACCTTTACTGACTCCATGCCTGCCTCTCTGACCTGTTTGTTTCCTCTCCACCTATCCTCTCCTCTATCCATCTTCTAACCGCCTCCCACTCTCTCCCTATTTATTTCAGAACTCCCTTCCCCTCCCCCTTTTCTGATGAAGGGTCGAGACCAGAAACGTCAGCCTTTCTGCTCCTATGATGCTGCTTGGCCTGCTGTGTTCATCCAGCTCTGCACCTTGTTGTCTGGGGTTAAGGATAAGGCTTCGAGGAGTGAGGGTGGCAGTTTTGATGGAGAAGGTTGATCAGCACATGAGTGTAGACACAAGTGGTTGTCATAGGAATAAAGAAGCAAAGTTGGATGTGAAGTGGATATGTGGGAATGGGACTGGGAATCAGGAGTTTGCTTATTGGATATATATGCAAGGGTATTTTCGTCCTCACAAGAGGCAGCTGAGAGGAAGATGATGAACAATGACATTAGCATGGGGTTGCAAGTTCCAGTTAACCAAGACAATTTTGGAATTGATGTCAAATTACTAGTTACATAAAAAGTGATTGAGTAGTAGAATGGACATCTGGGTTGCGTTTTGGAACAAAGTTCTGAAATCATTTAAGGACTAACTGGATTCTATAATGGCACAAGTTGGGGTGTAACATGCTTGGTGGTGCTGTTCCCAGCAAACAAATAAATTGCTGACACTCTGTTGATGTAGGAAGAATGTACCATTGGGGAACACATCAGTAGCTGAATGAAACGGATTGTCATCCTTCAATCTGTTCAGAAGGATGCTTTGATTTTTATAATTAAATGATAATCTGCAATATTATAGCAGATTTTTGCAATTACATTGTTCTTTGGTTGGTAGGAATAAAAATTGATTTAGCAATTTGGTTGCTTCATTTGTGGTAAAAACACTAACTGGTTTTCTGAATAAAATGTTCTGCAGCAATCCAGAGAAGTCTAAGGCATAAACTTGTCTTTCAATGTTTGGACAA